GAGATTGCACCACTGCACTCTAGCCTGGGTGACAGAGTTTAAAACAAGTAATTTTATTATCTATTTTTTCCAAACACCAGCCATGGAAAAGAAATAAAATTTTTCTTAGAAAAATAATCTTCCTCATTTTCTCACTATCCCAAAGCCATCCACCCCCAATAATTGACTGAACACCACTTATCACTCTACTCTTGAGAATAAGGTAAACCATAGTGAGGTTACCAACATATTCCTGTGACGCTATGATTCTCTCACCATCCCTTATAAGTAAAACCCAAGGAAGCCCCTTTTATCTCTAAGACTTGAGTAAGAGAATGCAGAGGGTTTTGCTCAGAACAGACCTGTGAGGCCATGTCTTGGGGATGGAATGAGTATGGAATTCTAAGGCTTTTCAGTTAATCCAAGGCTGCTCCACAAATTAATTGAATCCTGGGTAGATGCAGGGCTTACTCATGTCTCATTTCTCCATTTAGGTTGCTCTGCCTACATTGATATATATACAAACCTGAAATTATGTATATGCAATATAAAATATCAATAATAGCTATATTGTTTTAAGCATCTCTGTATCTACATTGTACTAGAGCTTTGTAGTATAGTGATTAAGATAGTATATGGAGACAAACACAGTCTACTTTGACAGGCGTTTTACTAAGTTAAGTCAGAGAAGCAGAACCACTGTGAGTAATATGATAGGAGATTTATTATAGGAATTAGATTTTATTAAATTGTGGGAAGAGCCAGGGAAATGAAAACTCGAAAGGGGGAGTTACATAATAAGAGTCATCACCAGCCAGTTGACTGAGAAATGAAACATGACCAGCAACCACAGTGGACCTATGAAGGGGAGTTCTTTAGGCTACAATTATCCATCTGATTATGGGGCTTAGGCTATTGCTGGTGAGTGAGAAGGGTTGTTGAGGAAAAGAGCTGGGCATAAAGGGAGTTTAAGAGAGTGTAAAGAACCTGCAACTCACTGGCATTTCTTTCATTGATCACTGCATCTGCGACAACTTTCTGAAAGCAGTGATTTCCCTTAATTATACCTTACAAATCTCATAAAAAAGTTTCTGTTTAGCCAACTCTAAACTAGAAGCATAAATACAAAGGATTTCTGGGAAACATTATCCCTGGCTTAATCTGGCTGATACAAGAAAAATCATACTCAGTGAGCAATCACTCTTAAATACCTAAATTGTATCTACTCTAATTGTAGACAAGTCTTCTCAAATTATTATGTCGTAATGACATATTACATAGTGACAATCATAGCCAACTCCTTCAACACATAGTCACAACATGTATAAATGTGGGCAAGTGCCTTGCCTCTCTGTACCTCAGATGTACAAAGAAGATGAGAGGAATAAAAATAGTACCCACATCAGAAAAAACTGTGAGGAATTTTTAAAATAATATTACCTATGAAGCACCTAAGACGGAGTAAGCTCTAAATACCTTCTTATTCTGTGCTTAGCATGGTACTAGGCATTGGTGATGATATAAAAAAAAAAAGGGAAGGCCTTTATTCTTAAAAAAAAAAAAAAAGTGTTCCACTATCATTTTTATTATCATAGAACCAAGGAAGTATTTTAATGCAACTAACTTGTCTGATTGGTTGTTTTGGTAACACTTAGACTTTATTTTTATATTTTCATCATCTATGAAC